ATATACCGAGCGGCCATTTTGAGCGGCCATTTTGAATGAAAAAAAAAGTAAAAAAAGGGCCTCCTCCTTCCTATTTTTCGAAAAAACAGGACGCTAAACATGTTTTTATTTTTATTTGGCCTTAGGGTCTTTTCTGTTATTCCATTTATTAATTTTGAGGACAATGCATATATGGGTGTAGTCAGACATGAGGTAAAAAAGGGGCGAAATCAAGGGATATGGCATTTCTGCACGGACATGTTCATATACCCCGAAAAAGTGGGGACACAAAAATACCTACCCCAGTCCCAATCAGTGGCGGACCCAGGGCCGGGGGTCCGGAGTCCCGCCCCCCCCCCCCCTGGCAAAAAGAGGAGGGAAAAAAGGGGGGATTTTGTGTGTGTGTGTGTGTGTGTGTGTGTGTGCTAAAGAAAGCAACAACAAAAAAGTGATCCTTCCCCCCTACTAAGCCACTGAACGAAATATCTGACGACGTAATTTTCCGGGGCTGAAAAAAAAAAAAATTGTTCATCTGAACGTGATTAAATGCCTTAAAACCCCTGAACTTCCGGGGGCTTTGCTCCCTGGATTTCACCTAGGGCCCAAAGTCAGGCACCTGGATGCTCATCTGACAGTAATTTAACGCTTAAAACCCCTGAGCTTCTGGGGGCTCCGCCCCCTGGACCCCACACTAATTAGTGACCTACCAGTGCCACAAATAAGGTATAAAAATATGCTCATCTGACCGTAATTAAATGCCTAAAACCCCTTAAGCCCCTTGACTTCCGGTGGCTCTGCCCCCTGGACCCCACCTAGGGCCCTAAGGCGAGCGGCTGGATGCTAATCTGACGGTAATTTAATGCTTAAAACCCCTGAGTTTCTGGGGTCTCGGCCCCCTGGACCTCACGCCAACAAATAAGGTATCAAAATATGCTAATCTGACAGTAATTAAATGTCTATACCCCCGAGCTTCTGGGGGCTCCACCCCTTGACCCCCGCCGAGAAACGTTCAGCGGGGCCTTCATGTAAGAGTGGGGTGATGGGGATTTTGTTGTTGTCTACCCTGCTCCCCCCGAAAAAAAAAATGTTTTTACCACTGCCGGTGTCACCATTACGTACCAATATTTGGCTCGCATAATTTCAAATTTTGCCCCCCCCCCCTAAGAAATCCTGGATCCGCGCCTGGTTACTATATTGTACCATTCCTCCATAATGAAATTGTGATAAACTTATGATGAAACACAAGACAAACAACTTCCATACATGAAAATTTACACAAATATTGAGACCATCAAGTCCGCAGAGATGTGAGTCGTTTTTTCTTCTTCTTCTTAACAATCAAACTTAAAGAATGATGAATATCAGATAAATCTAAAAATATATTAAGTGTATAAATGCAAGAAAATAAAATATGGTGAAATACACATGGAAAACACAATCTTTAAAGAAAAAGAATGAACTATAAAAAGTGTGTAATAAACGAAAAATGTACATTGACCATCAATTTGAGTACACAAAGTGCTAATTTGAATGCTACAAATGAATTCGAATGCTAAAAGTACACCTTCGCGATGTCAGAAATCGTGTTGCACCAAATCGAATGACCAAATAGCGAAAGAAGCACATTATTCATTAATTTGAATGAAACATACATAGATTCGAACGAAAACTTCATAGATTTGAAAACTATATCTGACAACTCTAAAACCGTCGAATTTGAACGCAAGACAAATTAATTTAAATGACAAACTCGACACCCCCACCTGTCAGGATACTGTCGGTAAAATTGCGCTGCTGTCGGGAAAAAGAGAAAAGGGGGAGCGAAAAAAAGAGAGGGAAAGAAAGAAAAGAAAGGAAAGACAAGAGAGGAAAGAAAGAGAAAAAAGAAAAAGAGGGAGGAGAGGAAAGAAAGGAAAAGAAAGAAAAGAATGAAAAGAAAAAAAGAAAGAAAAGGAAAACAAAAGAAACGGGGGATGAAAGAGAGGAGAGAGAGAGAGGGGAGGTAAGAGCATGAGAGAGGAGGAGTGGGAGTTAAAGAGAGAGGGGGGTTGTTGGGTGGAGTCGTCTAGCCGAGGGAGCAAGAAAGACAAACTCTTTTGCAGACTGTAAATTCTGAGTTGACAAATGCGACTTTGTGGATTCATGCAAACAAGTTGTCTTTAAATCTTAAAAAAACTAATTATATGCTCTTTAGTAATTCCCTGAGTATATTGCCTGGAAATATAATGTTCAATGGTGTTGAGATTGAAAGAGTATCTACATTTAAATTTCTTGGCCTGCATATTGATGAACATTTAAATTGGAAGTATCATATTAGTAAACTTTGTAAATTATTGTCAAGAAATACTGGTGTAATTTATAAATTGAAATCTGTGTTCCCACTGAATATCTTACGTATGTTGTACGGAACTTTAATTTTGCCATATTTGCACTATGGTGTGCTGGCTTGGGGCAACTCGTTCAAATCTCAAATGGATAAATTACTACTGGTACAGAAAAGAGTAATACGAATTGTTTGTAATACACACTATCTTGCGCATACAGATGTTCTTTTTTATAATAGTAGTGTTTTGAAAGTTGAAGATATTTATCATTTACAACTAGGAGCTCTAATGTATGAATTGAATGAAGGTCTACTGCCAGTAGCCTTGGCTAGAATATTTAAGAAAAATAACCAAGTTCATAGTTATTCCACACGTCAGGCGCAAGCATATCACTTGCCTCTTGTTAGAACGCAATTTGCTCTTACTACTGTGGGGTCCACTGGACCTAGGTTTTGGAATTCCCTTGAAACAAGAATAGCGCAATCAGTCAGTATTTATGTATTTAAGCGCAAACTGAAGTTACTATATTTGAGTCGATATCGTCTAGATTTATAGTTGTGATCAATATTTAAGAAAATTAATTACTATATAGGTCAGCATAATTCTACTCCCATCTCTCACATCTATTGATCTGTCTGTCTTTTTTTGTTTTTGTCTGTGTTTCAGTCCTGTTGCTCGTTGTATTTTCCTGTTTCTTTTGTTTATAGCCATTATTTAGTAGTCAGTAGATTTTATTTTATTATATTTTTTATGTTTATATTTTATCAGTTGTTTAGTTAGTTTAGTTTGTCAGCACTTAAATGTATGCATTATTCTTATCTGACGAGTTTTGTTCTTTTAGGACATATTCATAAGCTACTCATGAGGGACCTTAAATCCACAAGCCTTGCTTTCAACCAAGGTCACCTCATCTTTCTTTTGTAACGCCATATTCTGTAAACTTGTTATATTCATGTCATATTTGTAAAGTGTGTTATGAAAGAAAGATAAATAAAACTTGAAACTTGAAACTTGAAACTAGACATGTTGCTGTGTCGGGTCAGCTGTGTCGGTATTCTTGCTCGATCCTCGTGTACTATATCAATTCAGAAGTTTGAAGTTGGTGAGATGTTTATTGTCGGTCGGCCGACAAGTTTTTTCCCGTACGAACAGTGACTTTTTATCCGCTGTGACGACTTCGAGAGTAACTACTACTACAATACTTGTATTTTCTCAAAGTTTCACTTTCCTATAATATCGGCTAAAGAAATCAGAGGTTTAAAATTTTTGGGGAAACTAAATTCAAACAAGGATTAAGAGTCAACAACGGTACGACGAATCGTCTTCCTTTCTCTATATTTTGATGAAACGCCAAAAATTAGCGCTTCGCGCGGGAGGGGAAGCTTCATTTTGACGAGTCGAGAACGGTACAACGAATCGTCTTCTTTCTCTAATAATTTAAGGAAACGTCTAAGCTTCCGCGATTCGCGCGGGATGGGGAAAAACTGAATTCAGATAAGGATTAAGAGTCGAGAACAGTACAACGAATTGTTTGCTTTCTCTCATAATTTAAGGAAACGTCAAACTGAATTCAGACAAATTAGGGTTAAGAGTCGCGAACCGGCTGTACAACGAATCGTCTGCTTTCTCCAATAATTTAAGGAAACGTCAAAGCTTCCGCGCTTCGCACGAGAGAGGGAAACTGAATTCAGAAAAATAGGGCTTATTAAGAGTCGAAAACGATACAACGAATCGTCTGCTTCCTCTAATAATTTGAGGAAACGTCAAAGCTTCCGCGCTTTGCGCTAATGGGGGGAAACTGAAGTCAGACAATTAGGGCTCATTAAGAGTCGAAAACGGTACAACAAATTGTCTTCTTTCTCTAATAATTGAAAGAAACGTCAAAACTTCCGCGCTTCGCGCGGGAGGGGGAAACTTCATTCAGACAAGGATTAAGAGTCGTCCAACGAATCGTCTACTTTCTCGAATAATTATAAATAAAACGTCAAAACTTCCGCGCTTCGCGTGGGAGGGGGAGAACTGAACAGATAAGGATTATGAGTCGAGAACAGTACACCGAATCGTCTGCTTTTTCTCATAATTTAATGAAACGTCAAAGCTCCCGCGCGAAGGGGTGAAACTGAATTCAGACAAGGATTAACAGTCGAGAATGGTATAGCAAATCGTCTTCTTTTTATAATAATGTAATGAAACGTCCAAGCTTTCGCGCTCAGCGCGCGGGAGGGAGGAAACTTCATTTAGACACGGATTAACAGTCGAGAACGGTACAATAAATCGTTTTTTTTTCCCTAATAATTTAAGGAAACGTCTAAGCTTCCGCGCTTCACCCACACCCCCTTATGATTCTCTTGCTCACTACCGCCCCTCCCTAAAATAAGTTCCTAGCTCCGCGCCTGCATTAAATATATACATGTAGCTATGATGCTGACTAAGTTGACGAAATAATTCGTATATTCATGTCGTCGAGGAAAATGACTAATTGCGCATACGCAAGTACTATAGATAGTCCATAGGAAAAACAATTTAGCCTTCGGCCCCGGGTTTATAGGGTTAAATTTGTAGATATTGGGACATCTAATTTAGTCGGTAATTGGTGGTTAGTTTTGTCGGTAATCGTTGGCCTCTACACCCCCCCCCCAGTGAAAAAGATCTAGCGACACCCCTGCTTCCAATATGTTCCTTTGAACCAATGCATGACCCCATACCAAAACTTTATATTACCTTTAATGGTAACACTTGCGGATCACACTCTGAACATGATTAAATCAGTGAAAATACTTGGGCTCAGATCAGATTTGAAAGAGAACATGTTCAGGAAATGGTGCTGAAAGCAAACAAGAGAATGAATATGTTAAGCGCCCTGTGTCTCTGTTTCGGCTCCCTGTCTGTGATTTGTTGACCATGTACAGGTGTTACTCGCCCCCTCGTCGAGTATGCTATCCCCGTTTGACACCCAGGTCTTACCTTCTCCGAGAGTGCAAAAACCTGCCCTTCGTTTGATCATGGGTTCAGCTTATTCATTTTACGATGAAGCGCTGGAATACACACATCTTGAGAAATTTGCAGTTAGAAGGATTCATCTCCACAAGAAATTTGCCCAGGTTCACACGAAATTTAGCTACTTCAATAGCTGGTTACCCTTAGTTTAAGCCCCAATCACACCAAACCAGTTCTCACTACGTTCTGGAACCGTCCTAGAAAATCTTAAAACGGGTTATGGTCGGGGTAGAATGTGTAAATAATGTATATAATACGATCCTAGTTCGTTCATAAACAGTCCTCAATACGTCCATCTCGTCTTTCACCCGTCCGCAGTCAGTTTAAACTCATTATTATCTATTTCTACCTCGTTCCCAATATGTCCAAACCCATTTTAACTATAGTTCGCCACTTGTTCTAACTAGTTTGTAACCCAACCACACCGTTCAGAGACAGTTCAACTCGTCCTCATCTCGTTCTTAGTGCGTTCAAACGCGATCCTCTAGAGCGTGTGCAATCCCGTCCTGGCTCGAGGGCTATAAAAACTCAGCGAGTTCTCGCCATTCCTCATTCCCGTTCAACTTCAGCGCTTCAAGCTTTGCAGATCAAGACATTCAAGTGAAGCCCCCATTTCACCAAACTAGTTCTCACTACGTTTTGGGAAATGTTGCCAAACGTAGTAGTAACTGTTTGCGACCTTTTCATTGACGGGCTCGGACAAGCTTGGACGAGAAGGGTGCTCTAGAACTTTGAGCCTGTTAAAAATGGTCCCCGTCCTGCAATTTATTAGACGGAGTGATAGCGTACTTAAAACGAGATGGACGTACTACGAACGGAATTAATGCGTCCCAGAAAAAACGAAACCGAGAATTATCGATGTTTTATCATAACTTAATCACAATAATTGATAAATTATTTGTAAAGCTTAGATCCTCTTCTTTCATTTGATGTAACTCATATGATTCATATCCCACGCATGAGTGATTAAAATCAATTTAAAGAGAGGAAACCAAATAGCCATTTGGCGGGCGGTATCTGAATTTTAAAGAGAAAATTACATTTCTAGGAAGTTGAATTTTTGCCCTTTCATATGACACCTCAATCAGGAAAAATGAGCCTGGAATAACAAAGTTCTGTTTGTTTAAAGTAATGCTTGCATTTCCATAATTTGATCAAATGAGTTCGTTTTCACTGGCTGTCTGTCGTAGCAACGTACAGAGTTTCGTTGACGATCAGCCATGCACAAAGAAGACGAAAGACCTGATGCATGGCTGATCTTCAACGAAACGGAGTTAAGTCCTTTGTCAACGGGGTACAAACGAGTTGGACGTATTGTGGACTGTTTATGAACGAACTAGGGTCATATTATAGACATAAGTCCAGTCCGAGCCCGTCCATGAAGGCCTTAAACAGATCGTAAGCAGTTGCTACTACGTTCAACTCCGTTTGCACATAACTGTTTACAATCTGTTTAAGGACTTCATGGACGAGCTCGGACGAGAACGTACTCTAGAACTTTGAGCCTGTTCAAACATTTTCCCCGTCCTGCAATTAGACGGATTGGCAACGTATTTAAAACGAGATGGACGTACTGCGAACGGACTGATTACCGTTCTATGAACGGAATTGCCGTGATACATGTATATCCTACTAGGAACATGACCTGGTCGAGTATCAATTAGCAGTAGTATAAGCCCCCATCACACCAAACTAGGTCCCACTACGTTCTGGAACCGTCCTAGAAAATTGTAAAACGGGTTTTGGTCGGGGTAGAATGTGTAAATAATATCTACAATACGATCCTATTTCGTTCATTAACAGTCCACAATTTGCCCAACTCGTCTGTTCCCCGCCCACAGTAAGTTCATATCAAGTTCAGATCGGGTAAATTTGCCATGTCCAAGCGGGCTATTATTGGGGGGGGGGAGGGGGAGGGGAGAGGGAGAGGGGGAGGGGGAGGGGGGAGAGGGGGAGGGGGAGGGGTTGGGGGGCTCATCTCAAATTATGCACTCTCCTTGACATGGTCTAAATCATTATTTTCACCGGTTCAACATATGCTTTAATAGGAATGAATGGAATACTTACAGCACATAGATGTGCAACCAGAACAGAGATCCCGATGGCCAGTGGACTCGATCCTCCGGGACTCGGACGACTCTTGTCCACCGTAGCAAAGATGACAAGAACCAGTTGATAGGTGAGAAAAAGTTCCATGAGGAAAGCTTGCCATTCTGTGACATCTGGTCCAGGTGTAGTAGGTCCGATGGTGTCATTGATGTCAGCAGGTGTAATCACTTTGACCATACCAGCAGCGGCGATAGCCCCGATCACCTGGGCTAGTGAGTAGGCTACACATCGTAAGGGGGTGATCCGGTGAAGCAGCAAGAAAGCAAGTGACACGGCAGGATTGAGATGACCACCGCTGATATGAGCGGTAACGTGGATAAATGTAGCCAGTCCAAGACCAAAAGCAAGGGCGATCTGCACCTGGCTGGGGATGTATGGGGCATTCCAACCCGATGTCGAACTAAGCCCGATGAAGATGAAGAAAAACATGCCGACGAACTCAGCGGCTACGGCCTGCCAGAACTTGATGGACCTTGCCTCATCAGCCATCGAAATTGCATGCCGCGAGTCTGGCATGCTGTGAAAATCTGTGGATTGAAAACAAAAGTTAACTAATGTATTCGCATTTCATACATGATTGTGGAACAAAATTTGTTCTGTTCTTAACAAGACAGCTTCAGACAGCTTTGCCCGACATGGCAACAAATGATAGGCCTAAGACCAAGGTTAGCGCGATTTAAATCACCCTGATTTAAATCGTGATTTGAATCGTGATTGAAATAACCCCTAATATTATTTGGTTAATTACAACAGTTTAAACACATCTAATTACAACAGTTTAAACACATCTTCAGAAGTTATCTCAACCGGACTCACAGGAGCGTCAAACAAGACCCGTGAAGGAGGTGAATATTATTATCTTCCTCGGTAAATCCCGATGAAAATAATTGAAAGCCTGTACAATTTCTGCCTTTTCCTGGTCTGAAGATGTTTTACTACCATCTGGTTTAGTTAGGTTTGCTACACTTTCACGAGTTGTTGTTTTTGATCTGATTATGATCAGGAAGCTGTTACTAACTTTAGTTACAGCTTCCTGATATGACCATGCAGAATCCTTTCACATTTCGTTTGACACCAGCGGCAATAAATGGATATTTACCCTTGAACCGCAATTTTACCACTACCAGTCTATATCTTTAAATCAAAGATAATCTTGCAATGGTCACTCTTTCCAAGACCTGCACTGTTAAAAAAGTTGGGCAAATGTTACTGGGTAAATTCAATACAAATCATGATAGATGGGCGTCGTCCAGACTACAACTTGTGATTACGTGTCTTCGGATTTTCGTTATTTTCAACATTTTCTCTTCTTGATATGAACATTATTTGAATATGGACTAATTGACTGACTTCTCAGATAATCAGGAAATCTGTCTTTGTCATGGTATTATAACTGTAATGTGCTTTTTTTGGAATAGCTCTTCTGAAGAGTACTGCCTACAAAGCTCTAGCAAGACCACTCATTGAGTAGTTTGGGATCCCTCCTCTGCAAACCACATCCATCAAATAGAAATGGTACAAAGAAGGGCCGCTAGATTCACCCTCAATCGGTACCACAACACCTCTAGCGTGACCTCCATGCTCCAACAACTTGACTGGACCACACTCGAGCAACGAAGAGAAAATTACAGACTGGTGATAATGTACAAGCTCCACAACAACCTGGTAGCACTCGACACATCATCGTACATCAACCCTGTCACAAGACCCTCCAGGACTGCCCATGCAGCTACCAAGTCCTCCGTTCAAGAACTGAGCAACACAAGCAGTCCTTCTTTCCCAGGACTGTGAGGAGTTGGAATAACCTGCCATCAGAAACAGTATGTGCCTCATCCGTCAATGCCTTCCGTCAAAGCCTGACGGGAGGCAGCAACTAAGTCTGGGAACTTTTTACTTGCACCATGAAAATAGCATTGCACCATGCACCTTGCTCACGTAAGCACACACACACACTCATCAGTCTGCAAGAATCTTCAACTGTGAAGGAGGTAGACTTAACCCAAGCCATCAAGAAGTATGACTGAGAATGAATTAGAAGACTTAAAACAATACAGTCGTCGTAACTCCATCCGCATCTTAGGCTTACCTGAGATGCCAAATGAAAACACTTATCAACTCGCTATTGACCTAGTAACCAAATCCCTTGGCATTAACTTGTCCCCCGCCAACATCGACAGATCCTACCGGGTTGGAAAACCACGTTCTTCAAGTGCTTCAGCTAATGCTCCTCCAGATGATTCTACACCATCAACTCGTAAGATGTATGACAGAGCGTCGTCCCAAGCCAGGAATCTACACCAGTCCGCGTATAGGCCCCGACCGATACTAGTCAAACTATGTTCTTATCGCCATAAGCGGATCATAATGAGTAAGAAGTCACAACTCAAAGAGTCAAGATTAATGATTGTGGAAGATCTCATAAAAAGGAACTTTCAATTACTAATGGATACTTACTAATAAGGAAGTTAATAATTAATATGATTGGTTGCAGGGGCGTCGCTAGAACTTTTTCAGTGGGGGGGGGGGGTGTAGAGGCCAACGATTACCGACAAAACTAGCCACCAATTACCGACAAAATTAAATGTCCAATATCTACAAATTCAACCCTATAAATCTGGGGCCGAAGGCTAAATTGTTTTTCCTATGGACTATCTATGGTACTTGCATATGCGCAAAATGTATATTTTCCTCGACGACGTAAATAAACGAATTATTTCTTCAATCTTGTCAGCATCATATCTATATATTATAATGCAGGCGCGGAGCTAGGATCTTATTTTGGGAGGGGCGGTAGTGAGCAAGAGAATCACTTAAAAGCGCGCTCATTAGGGGGGTTTGGGTGATGGGCCTGCCGCGCGAAGCGCGGAAGCTTAGACGTTTCCTTAAATTATTAGGAAAAGAAGACGATTAATTGTACCGTTTTCGACTGGTAATCCTTGGCTGAATGAAGTCCCCCCCCTCCCGCGCGAAAGCTTTGACGTTTCATTAAATTATTATAAAAAGAAGACGATTTGCTGTACCGTTCTCGACTGTTTATCCTTTTCTGAATTCAGTTCCCCCCCCCCCACCCGGTGATGGGCCTGCCGCGCGAAGCGCGGAAGCTTAGACGTTTCCTTAAATTATTAGGAAAAGAAGACGATTAATTGTACCGTTTTCGACTGGTAATCCTTGGCTGAATGAAGTCCCCCCCCCCCTCCCGCGCGAAAGCTTTGACGTTTCATTAAATTATGAGAAAAAGCAGACGTTTCGGTGTACTGTTCTCGACTCTTAATCCTTATCTGAATGAAGCTTCCCCCTCCCGCGTGAAGCGCGGAAGTTTTGACGTTTCATTAAATTATTAGAGAAAAACGACGATTCGTCGTACCGTTTTCGACTCTTAATAAGTCTTATTTATCTGAACTCAGTTTCCCCCTCTCGCGCGAAGCGCGAAAGCTTTGACGTTTCCTCATATCATTAGAGAAAGAACACGATTCGTTGTACCGTTTTCGACTCTAAATAAGTCCTATCAGTTTTGTCTGAATTCAGTTTCCCCCTCTCACGCGAAACGCGGAATTTTTGGCGTTTCATCACAATATTGAGAAAGGAAGACGATACATCGTACCGTTTTCGACTCTTATCAAGCCCTATTTATCTGAAATCAGTTCCCCCTTTCGCGCGAAAGCTTTGACGTTTCCTCAAATTATTAGAGAAAGAACACGATTCGTTATACCTTTTTCGACTTTTAATAAGCCCTATTTGTCTGAATTCAGTTTCCCACTCTCGCGCGAAGCGCGGAAGCTTTGACGTTTCCTTAATTTATTAGAGAAAGAAGACGATTTGTTGTACCGTTCTCGACTCGTCTAAATGAAGTTTCATCACAATATAAAGAAAGGAAAACGATTCGTCGTACCGTTGTTGACTATTAAACCTTGTTTGAATTTAGTTTCCCCGAAAAGTTTAAACCTCTGATTTCTTTAGCTGATATTATAGGAAAGTGAAACTTCGAGAAAATACAAGTATTGTAGTTTTAGTCACTCTCGAAGTCGTCACAGCGGATAAGAAGTCACAGTTCGTAGGGAAAAAAACTTGTCGACCGACCGACAATATACATCTCACCGACTTCAAATTTCTGCATTGATATAGTACACGAGGGTCGAGCAAGAATACCGACACAGCTGACCCGTCACAGCAACATATTTAGCCGTGTCTTTCTTGCTCCCTCGACGAGACGACTCCACCCAACAACCCCCTTCTCTCTTTTACTCCCACTCCTCCTCTCTCAGACTCTTACCTCCCCTCTCTTTCATCCCCCGTTTCTTTTGTTTCCCTTTCACATTTCTTTCTTCTTTTTTCCTTTTCTTTCTTTTCTTTCTTTTCCTTTCTTTCCTCTCCTCCCTCTTTTTCTTTTTTCTCTTTCTTTCTTCTCTTTTCTTTCTTTTCTTTTACTTTCTTTCCTTTCTTTTCCTTTTTTTCTTTTCTTTCCCTTTCCCTCTCTTTTTTTTTCCCTCTCTTTTTTCCCTCTCCCCCTTTTCTTTTTTTCCCGACGGCGGCGCAATTTTACCGACAATATCCTGACAGGTGGGGGGGGGGGGGGGGTGTCGCACCCCCCCCCCCAACACTCCCCCTTTGGCGACGCCCCTGATTGGTTCTGTAGCAACAAACTCTTATTGAATTTTGACAAAACAAAGTTTATGATTTGCAGAACGAGGAACAGGAGGGTCCCGAATGATCTTAATAATTTTACTATTGGTGGTCATGATATATCACGTGTGGATAATGTTCAATTTTTAGGTACAGTATTACAGTAAACGAATTTCTCTCATGGAAACCGCATATTAGTAGTATTTGTACTAAAGTATCAAGATGTATAGGAATCATATCAAGGCTCAAATTTATATTACCACAAAACATACTCGTCACTTTATACTATAGGTTAATCTTGCCTCACCTAACATACTGTAACTCAGTAAGGGGTCATACTTTCAGAGACCATCTTTCTAGATTAATAATACTTCAGAAAAAAGCAATTAGACTTATTACATCATCCCCATATTACTGTTCGAGTATGCCATTATTTATTAAAATTCTCACAATGACCTACAAGTGCATCCATAAAATGGCTCCATCCTATCTCCAAAACCTTCTCTCATTACATCAACCAGGAAGGCATGGTCTGAGATCTGGCAACGACCCAACCTTGCTCTCGGTTCCCAGGAGTCGTACACGCTTTGGGGATCGATCTTTTTCTGTTTCCGCACCACGTCTCTGGAACAATCTCCCTCAGGCTGTACGACCTTCTCCTTCTCTCGCTATCTTTCAACGTTCCTTGAAAACCTTTCTCTTTAATAGTTGAATTTATATATTTTTGTGTACGTAATTTTATTGTTTGCTATCAATGTCAATTAAGTAATGTAATGTTGTAAAGCGCTGTGATACACATGTATGTCTGTAAGAGCGCTATATAAATGCCAATATTATTATTATTATTATTAAAGAAAATGAATATTTTACCAATCTCTGAATTAATTTCTATGAACTCTCTTATTTTTATGTATAAATACCAGTCTGGATTTTTACCAAAAATATTTGAAAATATGTTCACCCTTAATTCGTCTGTACATAATTACAACACTCGTCAATGTAAACTATTTCATCAACCTAAGGTTTCCACTTCCATGGCCTCAAACTCATTCAGAGTAAAATATATTAAATTGTGGAACAGCCTTGATTACAGTATTCAACAAAGCTCAACTCTTTCAAAATTCAAATTTTCTATAAAAAGACTCTATCTCACCAATATTAATACGTGCTAAGTAGATATATGAAATGTATTAATTAATTCTAACTTTCTTCTCCTGTTTCATGAGCTCTCTCCACTCCTACAATTTTCTCTTTCTCTTTTCTTTTCACCATGCCTACTCATTCTAATTATTTTCTTCTGTAATACTGACTCTCCCCTCCCCTCTCTTTCTCCTTCTCTCTATGTATTCCTTCCCTATGATATTTTACTCTATCTCATCTATCTTATTGTGTGTGTATGCTAGTGTGTGTGTGCTAGGGTGTTTGTATGTCTGTGTGTGGACGTGTACCTGTATCTGTCTATTTATAGTAGCTGTTAAGATGATCACAATTTCCTAATTTATATTTAATTTGCTGTTTTATAATTTTCTCAAATGTTTAGATACTTCTCTAACAAAGTTATAAATTTTATATTGTATACCGGGGCCCTGCCTACAAGCAACCTGCTTATTAAGGGTATCCCTCCATGTTTATGTTTATATCGTTATTTTAATATAATGTGTCAATACTATGTTATATTTGTTCTTTTTAAAGATGGAAAAAATAAATTGAAATTGAAATTAAATCGAAGGTGGGCAAATTTTGTCCGATAATTGGGTTATTTTTTCCCAACCATTTACTATATGAAGTTACCTCAAGAAAGGTAAAAAAAAAAAGTTGTGGGCAGATGTTTCTGGGTAAATCGATGTTGGGCAAATGTCGTCCACCAATTGGGTTATTTCCTACCAACCATGTAGTAACCGATGAAATAATTGGGTAATGTTATTGGGCAAATTAGAGTTGGGCCATTTTTGTCCAACATTTGGGTTATTTTTCGCCCAACCATTTACTACATGTATTTACCCAATTACATGTTCAATATAAATTGGGCAGATGTAACTGGGCAAACGTAAGTCGGGCAACATTATAATTCAACAATAGGGTTACATTCTTATATTAGAGGTGTCGTGGTCGAGTGGATATGTCACACGACTGTGGATCACAAGTTCCATGGTTCAAGTCCCGCCGTGGCATTAATGTCCTTTTTCATATAATATTTTATGCAATTAGTTGCCCAACTAGTGTTTCATATATGCGACACAATGTAATGGGGAGAATTGGGTGAATTTCTGATTGGGTAAATTTTTGTTTGGTAAAAGTTGGGTATTTTCTTTTTAGCCAACACTGGGTAAATCATGCAAAATCTAATTTACACAACAGTTGGTTGGACACATAATCGCCCTCATGTTGGGTAAAAATTGGGCAATTTTTTGCCCAATATTTTTTAGAGTGTGCCGAAGTTACAATATCTAAGACAGCAGTCTCACTCATTGTGAAAACAAGACCGTTGGCTATAATTGTCGTGTAGGTGAACCTGGTGCTGAATTAATAAGGTATCTGTACAACAATCTAAGAACTTATGAGCAGGATGATCATAAATTGTCAAACAAGATTCTATTTCCCAATTTGTTTCTGGGTAGGCCTAATTAAAATCGCCAAATATCAAAATCTCCCGAAATCTACTCTGACCAGTAGGGCTCCTACAAACGAGACCACCTAAAGGATTACCACCACCCTGTAACTCTATACCAGCAAAAACTGCCTCAGGCTTGAATTCAAGTTCAGGAAAACTTGCATAATATGCCTCTGCTTTGAGGTCTTTTCGAACATCATGGGGATTATGAAAAACATCACATCCTTCCAGCTTCACTTCTGCTGGGTCAACATTAAAACGTACATTTTTAGGGTTTTACTTCCTTTAAACCAATAATGTGAGGATGGTACAATTATTATAGTTTATAATTCCAATTCGTGTCTCTTATTTAGTTACATGGTGCAATACAGTGTTTTATCAGATCCATTGAGGTTACCGATCGAGACTCTGACCCTGACTCTGACTTCAAGTCCGAGCAGCTGCCAATAATTCAGTTAAAGCCCCACTGCATTACTTACAACTACTTGCGCCCTCTATATAGCAAACAATGCATTATCATTGACCGTTGGTCCCCCATGGTCCCCTTTTTCGTATGTTAATTAAGAGCTGATTTTATGAAATAACCTCCTGTCAGTGACCATGAGGGTAGGTCTAATCCCTCCTGGCCAAACTAGTGCAGAAAGGCTTTAATGTGTCAGTACCACTTGCCATGCTTAATTATAATATATACACACGACCAATCTACTATACTAACTTTAAAAGCGCCATGAGCACCGAAAGGTGGACCTGTGCGCTTTACAATTAGCTAGCCACTAGTATTATTATCATTAAAAGTGTACTCACCTGTTATGGGTGTAGAATTAGACAGTATACCAAAAAAAATACAAAAAAGGTTGGAAGTAAACATCGTTAACGAGTGAACGCCGATCGCACTAACGTATACAACAACGCCAAAATTTACCACCTTATCCACCGAATTTTAGACTTATCGTCTTTATTGATTATCCATTGGAAAGATGTCGCACGAACAATGCTACAGTGTAGTTATTCTGTCAAGCATAATACAGCCTCCCTTGAGTGACTACCATGAATCGATGTTTGTTTCTATGGGGAGGGGGGAGTGTTTAGGGGGAAGGTTACCCGTCGGAGAGTGTTATTGCCATTATGAATATGGTTAGAGCATCCTCGATCTATACTAACTCGAAAATACTTTATTTATCATTCAAGCCATGCAGTATTAGTCATATATTAGCACATACATGTAATTACAGGGAACTTCTTTACCCCAACCCAAAACATGGCAATCAATGGGTTTGCGAAGGACCAACAATACATCGCCGATATTATTGTACCTATGACCAAAAAATCACATGCTTTAATATCAGTATAATTCTTTCAGTTGTTAAACATGTTTAGAGTACTTACTATTACTCAGCGGACACATGTTTATCCAGTGAATGCGATAATAAATCCAAGCCCTAGATATTCCACTTCAGTTCTGTCTCATCAGTTGTATACAAGAATCAATACAAGATGTCGCGTAAATATCGTACGAATTGTCACAATAACAAACATGGATAATATGACTTAAGTCCCGTAGTTTATAGTTGTTATTGTCTTAAAGACAATATTTGTTCTTTGACTACATTAATAGACCATTTACTGTACTTGAGCCTGACTGCTGTCTGTTTACACCATTACAGTCAACGCCCCCTTGTCAACGGAACCTAGGAGAGTTCAAGGGTCAAAAAGCATTTCCAGGGTGAGGTGCGTTTTGAAAGATGGCTAATTTCCTGGAAACATTCGAATTAAACGATTTTCCGTGAAGCAAAACAGAATATAATCAGAAGTAGCTTAATCTGAAAACATTGTGGTTTGTTTAAAAATTAGACTGACATTATTAAGACATTGTGGTTTGTTTAAAAATTAGACTGACATTATTAAGATCGTATAAAACCACAGAAATCGTTTGCCAGTGGAGCCTGTGGAGGGAATCAGAAAAAAGAAGGAATAAAAAGAAGAAAACAATGAGAAAAATATTTTACTTTTAAAGATAAAATCAGAGGAAGAAAAAAAACGGAGCAGATGAGGACAATAAAAATAATGGAAAGAGAAGAAGAAAAGAAAAGTAAAATAATAACAAAGTGTAAAATTTCGAAGGTAAAGATGTCGCAAAAAACAACGTGACTGAAATTATGTGTGTGAAAACACTCCACCCTTCACCGAACAGCCAACACCCTAATTTATTAATAGAGACTTTTATGCGCCTGATCGCATTCGAATGATCGCATCTGGAATTAACTACCCCTACCAACCACTGCAGTTAGACACTAGCCTAGCAAAAACTGCATAAAATAAATTCTACTTTAAAAATATTAAACAACTCCACCATCTCCAATATAATCAATTCCATCAACATCATCACCATCATCATCATCATCATCAGTGGCAGATCCAGCCGGCGGCGAGGGCGGGGGCCCAAGGAGGATTCCTATAATTCGGAAGAAAATATTTAGCGGCGAATAAACGGGGAGGTGGGGGGGGGGGGGGTATATAAGGAGCACTACTTTTTAACTCAACCCCTCCCCCTCTTGAGCTGCCACTAATCAGCATTATCATCATTGAATTAGACACTAGGCCTATAGGTACATCAACAGGAGAAACGTCACCAATATCATGCATTATCTTCATCACCACTGTTACCGCCATCATTATCACCATAACCAAAGCTAAATTAGACTATACATGTTCATACATCAGCAGAATAGACCACACATTCGAGCTCTCTGTTCCTGAAGCCACAATAGACTCCTACAACAAGTTCAACTAGACCTCTACAAATTTACAACTAGTTTTCATTTTATCCCCGGACCATTCGCATCTGGGATTAATACCAGTACTGTACAGTTCCAGCCACTGCAGTTACTGCTTTCCAGATGGCCGCCCTTCCTGTCATCATAGTGTTGGAACCTCCTGTAGGTTCCAGAATGCAGCAAATGCTGTATTATTACCCCCACCCCCTTAATGTCGACGTTAACAGAGTTCACTTGTACGTAGCTAGCTAGCTGCGTAGATGCAGCCAGAAATAAATTGGCGTAGATCTAGGCCAAGTAACAACAAAAACAAAGACAAGTCTAAACCGTCACTTTTGCTTTGGATTTAAAAAAAAGTACCGGTATGCACCTAATAAAAATAGCACTTACAAATACAATCTTAAATGTTCGTCCTTTACTTTCCTTTATAGCAATATAAGATTTATGATTATAATGCGTGTATTTTTTTTGCAAATGCCTAGATCTAGTTTCAATCGACTGGCCTACTAGGCCTAGATTAGACCGAAAACTTCAGTCTCTCTAATCGTCGGTTGTTCCACTGAGACTACGTCTGGCTCCACTAGACCTCCGATTGACAACAAATGTCAGTTTTATTAAAGAAATGACCCAAATCAGATGGTTATTGCTGTCTAGGCCTAGATAAACTACTGTGGCTTTATTCTGTTACGCGTCGAGAGCGAGACACATAACTACCCCCCCCCCACCCTCCATCATCCTAAATCTATCTGACACGTTCAATTCCCAACATTACAGATCTAGACCATAATATTAATAATAAAACGAAGCGCACATACCGTTGGTCCGTACCGGTACGGTACCCTTTGATATTAATGATGGATGATACACTCTCGAAAAGTGGTCTACAGGCTCCTTAAGTCCAATGTGACTTCTTGAATATCACGACAAAAAAGTGCTTGAAGTTGAACGAGATTTCTGCGTCTGCGCTGCGCAATCACGGTGATTGACGTCTAGTAGTAGTCTGTGAACTAGACTTGCCGAACTTGACCAGACTACTATAAGCTAGCTAGTCAACAAGCTGGTCGAGTCGACTAGATGCGTGGCCGACGTCGCATCCGGTACGTCACGTCGTCACGTCAGAATCCAAACAAGCTAAGGACAAGTTTTTTTACCACATTGGTGATTGCATGCATTTAATTGTATAGACCCGGCCAATTCTGATTTGTTTATAAATTTGGTGGGTAGCCTAAATGATACGGCGTTACTTTCTTTTTGTTCTTAAAACACACACACACACAAACACACAAGTCATAGGGTCTGGATTATATGCCTAAGGCGCCGGAAGTGGGTGGGGGGGGGGGCACTCGCCCCCAACCCCAAAAGTGGGGGCAAAACGCATTTTTGCCCCCCCCCCCCCCCAAAAAAAAAAAAAAAAACGCCCCCCACTCCAAAAAAAAGAAGAACAGCAGTAAAGGAGTAAAGCCAAAAGAACATAACAATAATACCAGCCTGAATTGAATTACATATAAAATTCTATTCAAAGAAAAGGAAACATTCCGCATGCCACCTATATTTATCAATGGAGGTTTTTATAATAGCGATATGCGCATATCGTGGAAATATTGTGAGAGGATAGAAGGCGCGTGTGTTTTTTGTTATGGGTACGTAGACATGAGCCCCTGAACGCTGGCGTACTGATGGCGGGGCGGGGGGTGCGGTATTTTTTTATTCGATACCAGTGATTTACAAATGTTGCTGAAATGAAATGATTTGCTGGTATTTAAAAAAAAAAAATTGTAAGTCATACCTTTTTAGGCGTTTGTTGGAAAATTAGAAATCCCCAAATTTACAGTCGAGCGAAAAATATGCTAGAAGCCTTCATGTTAGGGCCTGCAGAACGGCTGGGCTCGGGGGCTTGACGGCCCCCCTCACTTTTTGAAAAAGTGTGTTTCAGAGAAAAAGAAAGAACGAGAGAGAAAAAAAATAAGTGACCTGCCAAACTACCCTGAGCTTCTGGGGGCTCAGACCCTTGACCCCCTGCCGGGGCGCATGCCCTGGACCCCACGCCAATTTAGGCTCTACCTGATCGTTAAAACTCCACTTTGAAAAAAAGTTCTGCGGGGCCTGCATGTAACGTGTAAGAGTGGTGGTGATGCAGATTTTTCTTCTGTTCCCCCCCCCCTCCAAACGTTTTTACTCTTAAATACGCCACTAGGTGAACCCCCTGGAATGTTGGACCCCCCCCCCCCCATCCCAAACTGCTCAGGCCGGCCTGCCTGTATACATGTATAAATGCCACTAAATTAGGAATTCTATACTAGTCTATAGGTTTAATCACTTGAACTTTGAGTTTGAAGGGGCACAGATACTCGTCTAGATTTGAGAATAAAATGAGAAATTAAAGACAAGAGTAGGGCCAGTGAAGTATTTATTTTATTTTGATGAAAGTAGTCTAGGTTAGGCGCTACGTTAGTTAGGGTCTATATATATATATATATATATCTGGGTCTCATTGTAGGGGAGTGTTTCACAAAGTCGACTAGGATCGACTTTAAGTTGGACTTGACTATGGCAGACCGTTCTTGTCGCTGAATAATTGATACAGCCATTGGTCTCTCCAGTGGCGGATCCAGGGGGGGGGGGGGGACATGTAAAAACACGTGAATTTTACCTTTTTTGGACGACATGGGCCCCCCTCAATTAGTGCTCACTACCCCCCCCCCCCCCCCCCCCCCCCCCCCCCCCCCCCCCCCCCCCCCCCCCCCCCCCCCCCCCCCCCCCCCCCCACTGAGCGCATTTTCGGGAGCAAAAATAAAACAAATTGGGCCCCCACCCGCTAAGAAATCCTGGATCCGCGCCTGGGTCTCTCAAGGGACGAACAAATCATGATCACAAATATACACAATTTACATTTTGTGATAGGGTCTAATTCATCATTGAAGGAAAAACATTATCTAAAGATCATAACCAGCAACCACTGGTATGAATGGCCTGCCATAGTTAAGTCTAACATAAAGTCGATCTTAGTCTTTGTGAAACACTCCCCTGGTGCTGGTCCTGATCCTGCATGCACTAGCACTGTGCACGTCGCGCGCTCGCGATCGATCACCTTCTTTCGCGATGATGGTGTACGTATGTGTGTGTGTGTAGTGCGCACAATGAATTCAAATATTTTAATTGCCGACGCGACGCAACATTAACGTGCGTGATGCTAGAGATATAATAAGACTGCGCTACACTTCACAAGAGGAGTTCTGGGAAAACAACTTGTGGTGAGTATCAAATCAATACAACAAATAGTTAATGAAAGTAAAGAGAATTTCTTCTTTTTAATTCATCATGACAATAAGCATTCATTCATTCGGTGACAGAGAAAGTCGATTGTGTGACTTGTCTTTGGTTACTCATTGAAATTACCTTAACATTAAAGGTTTAGGCTAGACGTTATCAATCCAGGAAAGGGCAAGGTCTAGACCGAAATTTCTGTCTCTTTCGTTCGTTAGCCTCTGATTTGGGTAGGGTCGGCTCCTTTCTAAAAAAGGAAGAGGAGCCGACCCTACCCAAATGAGAGGCTAACGAACGAAAGAGACAGAAAATTCGGTCTAGCCAAGGTCAAGATCTTATGAAGAGTCTATCATAGGGCCCCGCCCTTGTCATTTGGTACTTGGTTGGGTAATCTCTTTGGCAGCTCACTCGGGAAGCTATACTGGGATGGTAGGTGAGGCGAGTAGCTTCAACTAGATCTACAAGGAGTGTCATGAATTGCTGGAATGGTGTGTGGACAAAGCACTTGTTAATTTACAGTAAAATATGCTAAGCCTACTTGCAAGTAAAAACGAAGCTAGTTGCCTAGTAAGCTATCACTGATATGATGTTAACCAACAACGGGGCTGCATCATGCTGATGGAGGTTAGACTAGTAGAGCAGCCTCCTTGAAGTTGGTTATTCCTGTTGCATTAATTGCTGAGCCTGGCAGATGGTTACAGATCCTTATTGCTCTTGACTTGGGTAGTATGAGAACTTGAAGGAGTTGATAGTTGCAACAGGAATTACATACTTCAGGTCATGGCATGTTTGCAAGCATGTTAATACTTTTGTTACTTAGAAGGTCTAGGGTCTACTACTTTAAAGTTTAAAAGGAGGCTAAAACTAAAACTAAAAGTAAAAAGCCTAAACTGTCAGTGTCAGTGTCAGTGTTACAAATACAAAGCCACAAAAGCCACAATGGCCGTATGCAAGTTGCAGGGCTTGCATTTATAAGCAACAATCACACTCACAGCCTCTGTGCAGAAGTCATTCATGTTATTGATTGTTAACTTATTGTATTATAGATCAGCACTGTGCAGTTTATTCTCAAACCTAAGTAGATCTAGCCTAGATCTAACTCTAAGTAAGTTGCATCAAACTACTTTCTCACTTAGATCTTTTAGTTGTTTGCCTGACTAATTAGGTGGTTAGGCAAGACAGTAAATACAAAAAGTAAAACAGTCTGGTTTTCTAAACATGATTTGCAGAATTTCAACAGGGAGAACGTTACCAAAGCATACAAAAACCAGAGCCAAGTCTTCTCCTTCAAGTTGAAGTTGAAGAGATAAGCAGACTGGACACAATGACAGACTGGGTGCACTGCAACACATGTTTCAGACAGCCTGGAAGTGGTCCAAAGTTTGCCCTTACAAACTGTGGCCACATCTTCTGTGGTGACTGCCTGGAAGGAAGTAAGTTCTTTGTAATAAGGCCTCACTCCTACTAGTCTTCCATTTTAAACACTTAAAAAAAAAAAAAAAAATAGGGAGTAGGGTACTACCTCATGTAGGGACTAGGGTAATTTCAGTAGACCTCCCCAGTGACCTAGACCTAGGCTAATGTCATGTGCTCATTATTTACATTGAAATGTTATGTAATGCGAACATGAAATTCTGTACACACTATTTTCCACAGGGTATTGATGTTGCCTTTGATTATTCTTGTTTTTAGTATTAAATTTTAAAGTCAATAATGTACTTGGTCTTCTTTTTAAAATCAAGATCTGGACTTTGTAAATATCCTATTCTTAATTGTTCCATTATAGGCATTAAAGGTAGTTTAGCAGTAATTCTACAGATCT